AATCATCTTTATGTATGTGTCCCCACCTTCACAATAAAAAACTTCTCTTAAATGTGGAAATAAAGGAACATATTAAGACAACAACAGATGGCCAACATCATCAAAACTGGATATTTTATCAACAGAACTGAGCTTATGTGAAGAGGATGGCTAGGAGGGATCCTTCAGACACTGGTGGAGGAAGTGGGCACTCTGGTGATGGCTGTGGTATATGATATATGCATACGTAATGATATATGCATACATAGTATGCACTGCACTGTAGCACTGTCCTCCTGTTGTTCATCAATTTGCTCGAGGGGGCACCAGTAATGTCTCCATTGTGATACTTGTTCTTGCTGTTTTTGGCATATCAATTACGTCATGGGTAGCTTGCCAGGCTTTGCCGTGCGGGCAGGATACTCTCGATAGCTTGCCGGGCTCTCCGAGTGTGCCAGAGGAATTGAACCTGGGTCGGCTGTGTGCAAGGCAAACGCCCTACCCGCTGTGCTATGGAATCGATAATCACAGTATTTCAAAAAAAATGGCATATAAAAGGAAATTTGGTATGTATATATACACAGTGAGATATTATTCAGCTGTAAGACGAAATAAAATCAAGAGGAAATTGAGTCTATATATACAATGTGATATTATTCAGCTGTAAGAAGGAAAAAAATCATGTCATATGCTGCAATGTGAGTGAACCTCAAGTATATGCTTAATGAAATAAGACAGTCACAAAAGGACAAATACTTTATGGTCTCACATATATGAGGTATTTAGCATAGTCACATTTGTAGAAATGTAAAGTAGAAAAGTTGTCAGATGCTAAAGAGACATTTCCTCAATGGATATAAAATTTCAGTCATGCAAAATGAAAAAGATCAAGAGATTCTCTTATAACTTTATGCACGCAGTCAACATGGCTGACCCTAGTTTGATTCCTCCGCCCCTCTCGGAGAGCCTGGCAAGCTACTGAGTGTATCTAGCCCGCACAGCAGAGCCTGGCAAGCTACCCGTGATGTATTCGATATGCCAAACACAGTAACAACAAAGTCTCCAATGGAGACGTTACTGGGCCCACTCGAGCAAATCGATGAACAACGGGAGGACAGTGACTCAGTGATAAAAATACTGGCAGCAGGGGTCTCATTCTTCCTTTGAAGTACAGTTAGTGCGAGTACGATTATATAGTGGCAAGAATACTGGTTAGAACTTAGATCCTAAGATTCTAAACTGATTTTGTCATTAAATAATTATGTGATATTAAGCAGAGCACTGCCCTCTCTCTGTAAACTGAAAAGATTAAGTTTCTTGATTTTGTAAGTTTCCCCACAGTTTACAAATTCTTGATTGTTTTCTGACAAGTGACTAAATAGAGCAATATGTACTACTAGATGTGATGATGGAGATGAACCAGGTAAAAATAAAAAATACTGAGCTTTGAGGTGTATTTGATTGTGTGTGCATGTGTTTGTGCAAGGCAAACGCCCTACCGCTGTGCTATAGCACAATTGAACCCGGTCCAGCCGGGTTCAATTCCTCCACCCCTCTCCGGAGAGCCTGGCAAGCTACTGAGAGTATCTAGTCCACACGGCAAGCATGTTTAATATGCCAAACACAGTAACAACAAGTCTCACAATGGAGATGTTACTGGGCCTGCTCAAGCAAATCAATGAACAATGGGAGGACAGTCCTATAGTGCAAAACAGTGTTTTTATCAGTGAAGAAAAATCCTATCTAGCCATCTTAGTTTCAGGATATGTACATAAGTTCTTTTTGTGATAGCAGCTAAATCATTTATTTTCTTCTACTATAATGGTGAAAAAGATAGAGTATAGTAAGACATCAATGAGAAGTAAGACTTGGAACTAACTGGATTGGTTAAGGGTTAACTCTGTGCTTGCTTTCGTGAAAAGATTGTGAGCATTTGTAGTTATTTTTCTTTACCAAAGTGTTTTCATGTGTATTATTTCATTTAGTCTTCAACTGGCCTGGGAACCCACTAGGTCAGAGCTCATTAGTGAAATTTTACAAAAGAAGAAAATGAGACTGAAAACTCTTAAGTGATTTGCCCAAGGTCATCCTTCTAGTTAGTGACAAGGCCAGGGCTCACATATGTCTCTGATTCTAAATCTCATTTCTTTTGTCTGGCGTCACTGTATCACTGTATCATGTCATCTCGTTGTTCATTGATTTCCTTGAGCAGGCACCAGTAACATCTCCATTTGTTCTAGCCCTGAGATTTTTAGCAAGTGCCACATTGGAGGCTCTTTCAGGATCAGGGGAATGAGAACCATCATTGTTACTGGGTTTTGTCATATCGAATACGCCGCGGGGAGCTTGCCAGACTCTGCTGTGTGGGCAGGATACTCTCTGTAGCCTTCCAGGTTCTCCGAGAGTGAGAACTAGACAATAAGAGGTCACGCTGTCACAAATGCAGCTGTGCGCTTCCAGGAGCTTGGTTTTATAGTCTCTGGGTCTTGGCCGTTGATGGATTACATGGTGGAGCCGGGGGTAGTCGGTGGGTGTAATGTCTAGAGCTGGAGCGATAGCACAGCGGTTAGGGCATTTGCTTTGCACACAGCCGGCCCAGGTTCGATTCCTCCATCACTTGTCTGAAGTCACAACACATAATTCTAGTAGTACTTGGGTGATGAGTACATATCCTGTTGACTTGTGTTTACAAATTTCAGTATGTTGAGACTGAAATTTGTTGTGTTAATTCTATAAAGTGACATTTATAGATAGGATTTTTATGCCAAAAGGAAAGAAAATTAACTTCAAGGTAGAAAAATAAAAAGCAAATGAATAGATATTATGCCATAGGTTCACACACACTGATATTTAGCACTGTCACTTTCACTGTCGCTGTTCTCCTGTTGTTCATTGATTTGCTTTAGCGAGCCCAGTAACATTGTGAGACTTGTTACTGTGTTTGGTATATCGAATACATCATGGGTAGCTTGCCAGGCTTTGCTGTGCGGGCGAGATACTCTCGGTAGCTTGCTGGGCTCTCCGAGAGGGGTGGAGGAATCGAACCCAAGCTTGGCCAGGCCAGCCATGTGCAAGGCAAAAACCCTACCTGCTGCTTTTTAATGAAAAATATTCAAATTGACACCCTTTTCTCACTTTTTCTGTGTTCCTGTAGGTAGAAAAGCAAAAGGAGCATTATCAAAATAATCTTTGCAATTCTATAATATTGAAGATGGTTTACCATGTGAATAATCCTTAAAGAATTTAGAAAGGCAGGCTATAAACAGCCAGACTTTAATTGTATTAAAGAAAAGCCAACTTAGTTCAACATCATGAAATGCAGACAGTCCAGGAGGCTGAGTGAGGGGAAAGGATAAGGGGAGAACAGGAGTCTGAGAAAAGTTTTTCGGACCTGCTGGACACACCCTGTCAGGCCCAAGGGTGTATAAGAGGTTGTGAGAGATGAGGAAATGGAAGCTCATAATGGAAATCTTGTCCAGGGGAAACTGAGAAGACAGTGTCACAGTGAGGATGGAGATGCACAAAAAGAAGGCAAGAGACTGAATAGGAAAGAGAGTGGGCACGTTCTGTCCAGTCACAATTGAGATGTCAACACATTCCCTGCTAAAAACATCCTTTATACATTTAGTTGTGTGCATGTTAAGAATACCTCAGAGGGAAAACAGAGACATGCCAGAGTACATACCCCAGAAGGAAAGGTTAGCTCTGCTCAGGTTAGTGCTGAGAAATCAGCATAAATATAGCAACAAATTCATTTTTCAAAACTATTCTTGCAGATACTTGGCTTGTTCTAAAAGCCCATCTCAGGAACTAGAGCCCAAAGTATTAAACAATGACCAGGAATGTCCTGAACCCTAGTAGCTGATTCTTTACAAAGGTACAAGCATGGGACCAGAAAACTAGTAGAGGGGATCAGGAGCTTGCCCTGCACGTAGCATACCCGAGTTCCATCCACAGCACCACAGATGGTCCCCAGAGCCCTGCCAGGAGTGGTCCCTGAGCATAGAGCCAGGAGTATGTCCTGACCACAGTCGGATGTGCCCCTCCACCCCAACAAAACAAAACCAAAAATGTTACAACATTGTTAAATGGGTAGCTGTCTAAAGGATGCTCTTTCCTGTAGGCTCCAGAGTGGAAACAATACTGCTAGTCATGAAGTTTGCTGATTCCTGTCTTGGTCATGGCAACCAGTTCATGCCAGGAACTTTAGATGACTGCAATACACACAAGCACAGTGCTACCAATAGACTAATAGCCGGGTGTGGCTGAGTCCTGACAGGGGCCATCCTCAAATTGGTTCTTTATTTAAAATATACTACAGGGCAATGTTTCATAATGACCCCACACACCTAGTGCATGCACTGACCAGCCTATACACACAGCTCCACTGTGTTCACTTGCCTACTTACTTTACTTTCCATGCCTCTAGGCAAGGTCCAAAAATTAGCAGTCTTGTACCCCTCCCAAGACCCTGTTCTCAGGACCTTCCAAAGAAAAAGGCAGTCAGAAAAAACGTGAATTTGCTTCGGTAAACAGAGCGTTTCAATCCAGTTCGGCCACGTGTTCTATCCACTAAAGACTTTTAACTTCCCTTGCCTAGGCTGGTTGGAGGGGCGAACTCAGCAGTAAGGAGGAGGACCAAAGAGGGGGCCTGCTTGAATGAAACAATGTAACAATTGATGTGAGGCCTTGCCTCGCTCCCACTCCCTAGCGAGCCTATAGGCGAGGTCCCAGTGGCTGCCCCTCCCCATTGCTCGGTTTTCTTGTCCATTAAGCGGCTATCCCTCCGCCTCTCTTTTCTTTTCTTTACTTTTTCCCCCTTCTCCTTTCCCCCCTCTCTCCCCCTCTCTCTGGCTCCGTGTCATTTCCTCCTTGTGCTCACTGCCTGAGCGTCCCAGCCGGGAGAGTAGGCGGAGCGGGGCGGCGGAGCGCTGGAGGGCGATGGTGGCGGAGCTGCTAGGGGCGGAGGCAACGTAGCCCCTGCGGAAAAGGAGCCCCGCGGCGCCTGAGCCGAGCTGAGGATGGAGAACCGGCCTGGGTCCTTCCAGTACATCCCCGTGCAGCTGCAAGGGGGGGCGCCATGGGGCTTCACCCTTAAGGGGGGTCTGGAACACTGCGAACCACTCACAGTGTCTAAGGTAAGAAGTGGCGGCTCTGCCCCTGTGGTGCCCAACTTTGAATGGACAAACGGGTGCGCTAGCTGCCGCGGGACGGGGCCTCAGTCTAACTGAAACTTAGCCACAGCTGAGCGTGAAAGATCCTGTGGAGCATTAAGCTGCATGGGGGGTAGGGTAGGGTGAGGGCTTGCCTTCAGCCCAGGCACAGACACTCCTTAAAGGGGAGGGGGCGGAAGCCCAAAAATCTGGCCCCAGGTTAGAGCCCTGCGTGCAGACACCATCGGGTGGGCCTGGTGCAACTTTTGATCCCGCATATGGGGCCCACTGCCCTGCTCAGTTTGAGTTGGTGGAGGAAGTGGGGTTGTTGGGGATTTCTTCTTGGAAGTTCCCGCGTCCCTGTGGGACAAGAAGAGGACGCGAGACTGACCCCTCCATCGACCCTTGGGCCTTGGCAGGGTATGGTGTGGGAAGGGGGAGCTGAGATCTTGGTGGCACTGGGGTAGCCTCACTTCCCATAAGCACACCCATTCAGCTGGTGGGGCGTTGCTGCTGCGGGTTCGCCTTGGCCTTTCCCTCCTTCCAGAGCCCTGCCCCATCGCGGGCGAGATTTCCTGCACGTTAAGTGTGGAGGAAACTTTTCGCCGTAGAGCGCAGCTGTGCTGGAGCTGTTGCTGCCGCCGCCAGGGTTTGTTTGTTTTAGGAGGCTCTGATCTGCTGGAAGCCAAGCTGCAGCTGAGGAGGGGACAAGGCACTTCTCCAATTACTCCAGCACCCCCTCCCTTCCCAGAATGAAGAGCCCCTGGTAGGGTGAAGGTGGGTTGTGGGGGCAGCTGGGACATTACTTAAAAGAGAGACTTCTTAGAAGGACTCACCTTAAGGTGCTCGATCACCGAGTGAACGAACTTCACCGGGACTTACTTTCTCAGTGGAGAGGTTGTTTTTGTTTCTCTGAAATGTTCAACATTGAAAAGTTCTCCATCTCCCAACCGGCACAAACTGCAGTTGAGGCTGCAGACTGTAGATGTGGGTTTGGGCTGGCTAATGAAAGTGCTAGCCTCTTAGAAGGGAAAAAATGTTACTTTATTATGATTAATTTTAGCTGTTTAAAGTGGATCATGTATTTGCAGTTCGTTCCTCTCCCAATCTGTGATACTTTGGCCTCACATTGGACCCACTGGTTAACTTGTAGGTTTGAGAACTCACTGATCTCAGGACCCATACTCTTAGCAGCTTGGGGTATTGCCTTAGAATATATTATTAACTGCTGCAATCTGAGGCACCCTCTCATCCACCATCACACCTTCTCCCTTAAAGCACTCTTCCTCTAGTACTCTCTTTGATTGTAATGTTTAAAAATTAAAACAAAACAAAATCCACAAAATTCTCAATCCCTTTGTAGCACTGTCCTCCCGTTGTTCATCGATTTGCTTGAGCGGGCCCAGTAGTGTCTCCATTGTGAGACTTTGTTGTTACTTTGTTTGGCATATCTAATACATCAACGGGGAGCTTGCTAGGCTTTGCCCTGCGGGTGAGATACTGAGATTCTCTCGGTAGCTTGCCAGGCTCTCCGAGAGTGGTGGAGGAATCGAACTGGGGTCTGCGGGCTGGCCACGTGCAAGGCAAACACCCTACTGCTGTGCTATTGCTCGACCAACAATCCATTTGGGGAGAGAGAAATCCTGGCCTTCAGGGATTTCTTGTAATAAAATTCCTCTCTCTTTCCACCAAGGTCACAACTGGCCACATTGCCCTCCATGGTCTACCAGTTCCAGCCTTTTCTTTACTTTACCATCCACAGAATTCCCAGTCTGCCTAGACAACTTGCTTTAGAGAAACTGACCTATAACTAGAGGCACCCTAGAGAGCCATGGATTGTTTTGTGAGCCTAGCCAGTCCAGACATAGCCGGGGTTTTACTAAATAAGAGACAGCCAGGAATCCGTGGTCTGGCTGGGGATTATTTGAGGATAGATGAGGGTTTCCTTGGCCAAGTTGTTAAGAAAGTTACTGGTGTATTGATAGAGAGGGTGACTTTCTATGATTCCCATCCCACTAAATGTATAGCTGACCACTTTTATAGGAACATTCATTATTATTACACTCATTTGGATATGCAGGGGTTAACATAAATTTTCCCATAAATCCCTAATAACTTGGCTTCTTACATAAAAGCCAGTGATACATGTGATTAGCACCCACATTATAAAGAGGGACCCTGGTATTCTTGTAATTCAATAGTTGCCTGTATTTTGTTCCTCCAAAGAAATTCAGTGGCATATTTAATTATTCACCTTTTTATTTGTCTCCCTTTGTCTAGTTTCCTCTTAAGCTTCATAATACAGCTTTCTTCTTGAATAGGGCCTCAATCTGCACACACTGGTGGGATTCGGAAGGAAGGAAGTGGAAGGAGAATTGTATTTGCAGATAACAAACTTGGGCTCTGCTCCTTGCTGGTACATATATTCTGGAATATTTTTTAGAACATTTGCACTTCCTAGGTTTATGTGTTCCCATGTCTGCAGAGAGATTCAAGTTGCTCATTTTCTTAAAATAGGAGAGTCTATTATTTTACCGCTGCATTGTTCATTTGCACAGTTACTGTTTATTGTGCATTTACTTCATATTCCTTATTTCATAGCCTCTTTCATCCACACTATACTGTAATTAGGGAAAGTTGTGGAGAAATAGAGAAGTGAAGCAGTAATGCACTGACTGGCTTGTCTAGGTTTGTCTTATGGTGATTCAGTGTTAGGCTCCAAGTCCGCTCTATTTTCTGTTACTTGGCAGTGTTTCTTACTATTTTTTTTCTGGTAGCACTGCAGTTTGTGAAGGGAGATGGGGCAATACTTCTCAGATATGAATTCAGGCTTCGCGGCTTTCTGCCCCAGTGACCCTTTCCATGCCAATCTGTGGTGCCACAGTAGTTGAGGTCTGGGTGATAGGTATTTCCTGCTGGAATCTGGGCTTATGAAGTAGGAGAGGATTGTTTTGATGAGTTACTACCTCTTCTAAAAGCTGTCTCCAAACACTAATCCCAGGCAAAAATCACTTTTCTTTTGGAGCATGATACCAAAGGAGAGTCCCCATCATTTCCCACCATGGTTCTTGGACCTTGCCTGTCTCTGCCTGAGTAGTTGAGATTTCAAGAGCTATGGGTTGAGTCAGATTTACGTTGTTTTGTGGATGGTAGTAAATTGACAGCAACTTTGACTTCTTGTTGGGTACAGAATGTAATGTTATACAAGGATTGATAGTTCCTCTGTCACTTTCTTAGCTGTGCCACAAGCAAAGAAGTATCTTCATGGAAAGGGCCTCTTAGTAGCATAGTTTAGACCCTGGTTACTTACACTGATTCCTCCTCATCTCTTCCATTAGAAGCAGCAAAGATGTTTACTGCCTTACTTGTCCAATTGGCCCTCCACAAAGTAGAAGGCATTTAGGAACATGTTGTAGGAATCCATTCAGAGAGAGGCAAAGAATGTTAGAGTCCGTGGGGCAAGAAGGGTGATATTATGTCTTGTAGCCCAGGGTTGAACTTTGGGTAGACACTTCAGAGGCCTCACAACTGTCATAATAAACCAGAAGCTCTGTTTAAATCCACAATTGTGCTCCCTAAACTGAAAAGGACCAAAGGCTCTCTAAAACCTCAAAAAATTAGTTGCAAGATACTTAAGCAAGATACTTAAGCATTGCCCCTTAAATAATTTGCAAGATACTTAAGCATTGCCCCTTAATTAATTTTCATTCTTGCGTTCTCCAACTCTTTCCCTGGACTTTTTGTTGTTATTGTTGTTTGGGGGGCACACCTGACTGGGCTTAGGGATTACTCCTGGTTCTGTGCTGGATCACTGCTGGCAAGCTGGGGTGGGGGGGCATATGTGTCGCTAGTGATTGAATCCAGGTCAGCCATGTGCAGGACAATTGCCCTGCCTGCTCTACTATCTCTCCAGTTTCCTGAATTATTTTTAAAAGAAGATATAGAGACTCTAGATTGGTGCTTATGGCATAATTACTTGGCAGTAACATCACAGTCTTTATAGGCTTCTCCAGAACCATGAAGTAAAAGATGCTGACCTATCTGAAATAAGTTAATGAAGAACAGCAAGGTTTAAGTAGAGGGCTGCTCTTATTTCTACCCTTATCCTATGAAACACCCAAAGGCAGACTCAATTCATGGAGTACTAACAATTCTATTGTTGGAGAATACTGGACTGAGTATTTCAGATTTTTATAGTGAGGAGGGTCTTTTGGAAATCACCTGATTTTATTCTTTTTGTTTTATCTTTTTACCACACCTGCCATGCTCAGGGCTTACTCCTGGCTCTGCACTCTGGAATCACTCCTAGTGGTGTATGGGAAAGCATAAGGGATGCGAGGGATCAAATTTGGTCAGCCATGTGCAAGTCAAGCAGTCTACCTGCTATACTATTTCTCTAGCCCCTCCTGATCTTACTCTTAGCCAACTGATGAGCCTCCTATGCAGTAGCCCAGAGCTTCGGGTCTATGGGAGAGCACTTTCTTTTGAGTACATGTTAATGTTGTAAAATTTTGACTGTGGACAGCTTTTTCTTTTGTCCATCTACAGTCATTCTCTTATCTAGTATCTCTGGGGGTTGCTCTACTTCCTCGGACCACACAGAACAAACTGTTTTATTTGTCTTAAGAAAACTATATGGTCTGAAAAGACCTCATGTTCTCATCTCTTACCTCCTATACTCATCTCTTACTTTGCTAGGTTAGAGTCCTGAGGTTTTGGCTATTCCTTATAGAATCTGAGATCATCTCTTCTATTTGCTTCTCCCACACAGGATGTACTAAAGCCTTTGTTCCTTTTGAGTTACGGCTTCCACAGCTAAGTATAATAAGTGAGGAGGACCTGAGCAAAGTGGAAAAGGACAAAAATACTAAATGCTAAAGGTGAAGACCACTTCGGCTCTTTTTGGTGACCAGGCCATACCAAAGAACCTGAGTCAATAAAAGCCTTTTTTGTGGTTTTATATGTTTTTATTTTATATATATTTT